TCTCTGTGTCTCTCTCTGTCTGTCTGGCGAGCACACACGCCCTATAGCAAAAACCTCTCAAAAAAAAAAAACACCCCACAAAGGTCAGCTCCATTTCTGCAACTGGTGATGAACCCGAAATGAAGTGAGGGCAGTGACTGCATTTAAAACCATGTGGGAAAGGACAGAGCACTCAGGAATGAATTTTTTTTAATTAAATTTAATTTGACCAGAGAGGGACAGAGTGGGGGAGGGAGGTGAGAAAGCTGCCAGGCCCAGGAGCCAAACCGTGGTTGGCCATGAGGTCCAGGGTCCTCAATCACCATGCCAGCTGCCGGCCCTCAGGAATAAAGGGCACACTGTGGGGCTGACGGATGCTGTAGGGCCCAGCCACTGTCCGAGTCCCAGAGCAGGGGGCTTGAAAGCCACAGCAAGGCGTGCGTGTGTGCCCAAGATCCCAGAGAGCGGAGAAGGGGCGGTGGCACGGCCGTCCCCCAGGTGGCGCTCTCTCACTTTCCCTGTCCCTGTCTCTGTCTCTGCCTCTCTCCAGTGAGCGCACGTGCCCTATGGCAGAACCCTGTCGTAAAATGAGACGCAGGGAACACGTATGTGGGCGCGTCTCACAGTGTCTTTTCAGTGAAGTGAGTCTTAGCAAAGAGCACGCAGCGTGTGCCATGCCCAGAACAGGCTGGTCCACGGCTGAGAGGGCCGGGGACATGGAAGGAGCAGCTTTGCCCTGGGGGTATAAACACACCCTTCCCTCCAGAGTGGCCCGGTTTCTCCCTGCCTGGTTACATGTTATTCCCAACCACCGAGCACCTGCAGGAAGGACAGCTGACACTGGGGGTTGGACCCAAATGTACCCAACGGGGCGGGCCGGCAGGAGGCCTGGTGAAGGCGCCGATTCCCATATGGCTGAATGGTCCAGGTCCTGGACCCAGCAGCTTGAAAATCACACCAGGAGCCTGTGCGGGTGCCCAGAATCCAGGGAGAATGAAGAAGGCGTGGCCACCTCCTGGGGTGATTTCTCACTGTCTCTCTTAGCGAGCGCACACACCTTATGACTAAAACTTTACCAAAGAAAACCACGTCAGGCAGGAGAGGACACCCGCACGGAGTGTCTGTCAGTCATGTTCAGACCCCGTGGGACAGGCACGGGGGCAGGGGAATACAGGGTTTGTGCTGTGCGTCTGCAGGGAGGAGCTGCCTGGACAGTTTTAGGGCATTAATGAGAGGACACACACGTCCACGACTGAAGCTAACACGATGTGCCACCACGGCCCGCCAGATCCGGAAGGAGAAAGGCGGCCGGGGCCGTGACCGCGACGCCAGCCCATGGTAGCTCTGCTGTGCCTGGAGCCCCGTGGGTGTGCGATGCTGGCCCTGAACACCAGGCGCCGAGGACAACGCAAGGCTGCACCCACCGACGGACCCACCCACGCTCCCGGAAGCTGGCCTTGTGCTGGCCGGACCCAGACTCTACCGTCCGAGTGAACTCTGTTCCCGGGGCCTGGCGAAGCTTGTAGAAAACGGAATCGAATACGTTTGTTCTGATGCCCCACAACTGAAACCCACGTTCTTCCCGGTATGCAGCTTACGCGAACTTTCTGAATGAAGACCCCACACCTGACACAGCTGGGGGGGAGAGAGCGCGTGTCCACGGCTCCCCAGCCAAGGGCCCACCGACACGGGTGCTGACCTGTGGTGGAAGTCCAGTAGCGCCTCGATGAGCTCCGTGCACGCCGCCTCCAGGTCTCCGCAGCTGCCGGAAGCAGAGGGCACAGACAGGAGCCACCTGTGGACTGCCCACTGCTGGAAGTCCTGTCTGAAGGGGGACACGCTTCGTTAACGCCACAGCGTGCGTGCACACAGACGGACGGAGAGGGCAACACGACCAGAAGGCACCACGGGGCTGGCTGCTCGCGTCTTCTCCCTCCGACCTCCAGGGCTGGGCTCAGACCCCGTGGCCATGTGCGATGCAGCTCCTCTGCCCAGCCACGACCACGGCACAGCGGCCCAGCTCCGAAGGCCGTCTCCTGGCAGGGGCTCCGCGTCACCTGAGAGTGCCCGCTGGGTGCCCTCCAGGGCTGGGGCCGAGGGCGGGGATGAGGACTTGCCGTGTACAGGACAGGGGCCTAGAGCTCAAGGAACAGCCTCGGGGGGCTGCACCCTCCAACACCACTGGTCACCGCCCCTCGGTATTGGCCCGCTGGAAGCCCACAGCTGAAGAGCTGGTGAGCAGAGCAGCCACTGCATGTGCAGGCTGGTGGGTCACCCTCATGTCCACACCCCCCGCCGGGCCACCGGCAGGGAGGGCTCCACAGGTGGATAGGTCTCAGGAACGGGCTGACTAGAAACTGCAGAGAGCAAACTTAGCCTTGCAATCCGGCCAGTCACAGGCAGTGACGAAGGACGTGTGGCCACCCGCTGCCGGGCCTGCAGGACGCACTGGGGTGGACACACTCAAGTGACAGTGGCCTGATTGGTTAGGGAGTGGTCTCAAGGGAGCCAGCGGGTGGCATGGTGGCTGGGTGCTAGACTCACACCGGGGGCAACTGCAGTTTAAGTGCCGGACCTGGCGGCTTGATTTCTCATTTTCCCTCTCTCTGTATCTGTCTCTCTCTAGTGAGCACACGTGCCCTATAGCAAATTGAAAACAAAACAATAAATGAATGAAATTATGTAAATAACTCATTTTTTAAAAAAGTAGTTAGGGGCTGGCAGGTGGTGTGGTGGTCATGGCACTAGACTCTCACATGGCTCACTGCGGTTCGAGTCCTAGACCCCGCAGCTTGCTTTCTTACTCCCCCTCACCCTCTCTCTGGCCAAATTAAAAAATAATACTAATAAACAAATACAATTAAACTATTCTTTTTTAAAAAAATAATAAAATTAAATAATTATTTTTTAAAAATTTTAAAGAGGTTTTTACCTTAGGGTGTGTGCTTTCACCAGAGAGACAGTGAGAAGGCAAGAGAGGAATCACTCCCCAGGGGGATGGCCATGCTGCGATCCCTTCTCCATTCTCTTGGGATCTTGAGCATGCACACACATGCTCCCAGGGTGATTTTTAAGACACCAGGTCCAGGACTCGAACTGCAGTTAGTTATGTGGGAATCCAGTGAGGTAACCACTGTGCCATCTGCTGGTCCCCAAATTAAATACAGTAAGTCTCAGGACCAGCGGATGGCACCACGGTTACGTCCATCGCTGGATTCTCATGTAAGTCCCGGGCCCAGGCACATGTGCGTGCATGCCCCAAATCCCGAAAGGAGAATGGAGAAGTGACTGTGGTACGGCCATCCCTGGGGTTATTTCTTACTCTCTCTCTGGCAAGTACGTGCACCCTGCAGCAAAAATCTACTAAAAACCGAAGTCCTGTGAGCCCAGGCCAGTCATTCTTGCTCGCTCCCCTCTCCCAGGGCACCAAGGCTGTGTGGGGACGGAGCCCTGCACAGGCTATGGAGCCTGAGCGCAAACCAGCGTCTCCCCACCCAGATCAGCGGCTGGCTGTTACTTTCATCACTCAAATCTCTTCCTTTTCCCAGTATTTCTACTCGCTCCATCTGGACTCTGACCCATGACCCAAGTGTGGGAGAGAGCCCTGGGCGTGTCCTGTGGTCTCAGGTCAGGGGCCCCTGGGGCCCCTATGCGGCTGGCAACATGCCTCTCTGGTGACCTCGCCCCCAACTACACACCCTCAAACCAAGGGCCCTCTGGGTCCCCAACTGCACACTCCGAGGACACGCCCTGCCCTCCCACAGCCTCAGCCATCAGCCCAGGACCCATTCCTGGAGCCCACCCCAGAGTCAGGCCTCGCCAAGCACTCAGCAGGCCTGCATGCCAGCCCTCCGGGTCATTTGTCCTCCTGTCCCTGCCCCGGAATCGACGCCGTGTCTGCTGACGGATGCCCAGGGCCACACACAGGAGAGTGCCAGGACAAGAGCCGTCCACCCTCTGCACGGAGGTGCAGGTATGAGCGTGGCCTGGGCGTCCCGCGGCGTCTGCTTCTCACATTTCCGGAGGAAAGGAGGAAAGGAGGAGTCACTCGCCACGCTTGAGCACAGGAGACAACAGCGCGGGGTGATACTCCGGAAGGCAGCACGCACCGACGCCGAGCACGGCTCCTGCGACACTCACCGTTCTGCATCCGAGAGGGGGTCGGCTCCCGGGGCCACATCCAGCTCCAGCCGCAGCCAGTCCCTGAACGCCAGCTGAGGGCACCACATGGCAGGTTCACGTAGTGATCCCGTCACAGAGGACCCCCACGAGGAGGACACCTTGTTTTACCCAGAATAACTTCTGCATGTACACTGTTTTCTGGCAGGAGACCACACGAGCACAAAGGCGGCAGTGCTAGAATACATTTCCCTAGGGGTTTTTTTGTTTTATGTTTTTTTTTCCCCCAGGTTTTTGCTATAGGGCGCATGCACCTGCCAGAAAGACAGAGATAGAGAGACAGAAAACGAGAAATCAACCCCCAGGGGGGATGGCCACACCGCAATCCCTTCGCCTCCATTCTCCTCTCGGGATCTTGGGCACGCACAGATACACGCCTGGCGTGAGTTTAAACCACCGGATCTGGGACTCAAACTGCAGTCGGCTACATGGGAGTCCAGCGACATAGCCATTACGCTAACTGCTGGTCCCACAGCAGGGTCTTTCTACAGGATTTTGATTCACAAGGAGCCTCCATCACCCTAGGACCAAGAGCTTGGACGGGACGGGCAGCGGGGCAGGCGGGGACCTACCTGAAATGCCTTCTCTTTCAGCAGCTCTTGGAAAGTGTTCTGTCTCCACAGAGAGAGGGCACCTCTCTGCCAGTCCACAGAAGGAAGGTACAAGGGGCTCCAGGCAAGGCCGGCCACATCCTCCCGAGACAGAGATTCTCGGGCCTCGGAGAACAATCTGAACACAGTGAACTGAAACTGAAACACAGGCAAGGGCTCAGGCCTAAGCAGATCAGACAGCCCCTGCCCGCCCTGCCAGGACACCAGCCCTCAGGATGGCACGCCCACTCTGCAGGGGGCAAGCAGCCAGCCCAGAGGCCCGGTCACAGCCACCTTTGGGGCTAATGTTCAGACGATTGGTGCTTTGGGCTAAATGCCTAGAAGCAGAACTGCTGAATCGAAGCTGCCCTCCGACGCTGGACGGTGGTGCCGTGGCTGAGACGGCTGGGTCGGACATAGTGACCACACAGTTCAAGTCCTGAACCTGGCAGCTTGAAAAACACTCTAGGCTGATGTTGGGGCACGCCCGAAATCCCCAGGGAATGGAGAAGGGACTGCGGCACTGCCACCCCCCAGGAGACGCTTTCTCATGAGTGCAGGTACTTGGAGAACATTAAAGCTTCCTGGGCCAGCATGTGATGGCCAAGGTGCTGGATCTCAACATGGTTTGCGGTTTGAGTCCTGGACCCGATGACTTGAAAATCACACCAGGTATGTGTGTGTGTATATGCCAAAATTCCCACGAGGAGAATGGAGAAGGAACTGTGGCGCGGCCATCTGCCCTGGGAAGATCTGTCACATCTCCCTCTTGTCTCCCTGTCTCTTCAGCAAGCACAGGCGCCCTATGGCGAAAACCCTCATAAAACACTGCCTTCTAGGGAACCAGCAGTTAGCGTAATGGCTATGTCGCTGGACTCCCACATAGTCGACCGCGGTTCGTGTCCCGGACCTGGTGGCTTAAAACTCACGCCGGGCGCGTGTGTGTGCGTGCCCAAGATCCCGAGAGGAGAATGGAGGAGAAGGGATTGTGGCATGACCATCCCCCTGAGGGGGGATTTCTCGTTTTCTGTCTCTATGTCTCTCTCTGTCTGGCGAGCGCATGCGCCCTACAGTGAAAAATCTCTCAAAAACAAAAAACAAACAAAAAAAAAACACTGCCTTCTAAAGAGCGGCCGCTGGGTCCTGGCAGCACGTGGGCGCGGCTCCCTCTGGCCACGGACACGCCGGTCAGTGAAGAATATGCGTTTGTGTTGGCCTAGCTGGAAGACCAGACCTCCTCCCCACCTAAGGACACGCCCAGTGACCCTGTGAGGCAGTCAGGGTCCCATCCCCTGTGCTGCTCTGTTATACTTCATTTAAAATGCGGAACCTGGGACCGAGGCCCTCCCACGGTGGCCACGTCTGTAGGGCTGCCCCCAGTTTAACCCCCAGAACCCAGAACTCATCCTTTCCAAAGTTTCTCAGTTGATTCTAGTGTGAAGCCTGCGACTGTAAACCAGCGTTTCACTATTATATTATTTAAATTAAAAAGACAAAAAAAAGGGGGGGGGGGCGGATGGCCATGCCGTAACCCCTTCTCCTCCAGTGTCCATTTGGAATTTTGGTCATGCACACACCCGGTACACTTCTTTTCTTTTAAGAGAGATTTTTGCTGTAGGGCATGTGCACTCATCAGAGAGACAGAAAGCGAGAAATCACCCCCCAGGGGAACGGCCACACCAGTCTCTTCTCCTCATTGACCTCTGGGGATCTTGGGCACGTGCACACACACACACACACAAACACACACAGTGAATTTTAAGCTGCCAGATCCAAGACTCAAACCACGGCTGACTACGTGGGAGCCCAGCAACATAACCACCCCACCGTCTGCTGGTCCCAGCACTCAGTGTGTTTTCAAGCTGCTGGGTCCAGGACTTGACCCACGGTTAGCCACGGAGGAGTCCAGCACCCTGACTACCCCACCACTTGTTGGCCCACTTCTCTCTCTAAGTTGACCTATTATTTCTTCCATGAGAGATAGGCAGAGACAGAGACAGGGAGACAGGCATCCCCAGGAAGGACTGTGGCTCTGAGACCATCACAGAGCCTGGATCACGTGCTCCTGTGCACGCCTCCTGTGTACGGGGCCCTGGGGCGTGAATAGGACCTCCCGTGTGGGTCCAGGTGTGTCAATAGTGCAGCACCTGGCCCAGCTCTCGTCCCGTTCAAAGGGAGTGCTCACAGCTGTCAATTCACATCACTGTTACGACAGTGCCAGGCTGCACCCCCGCTGCTGTGGTATGACGGAGCGTGTCGGGCTGCACCCCCACTGCTGTGGCATGACGGAGCGTGTCAGGCTGCACCCCCGCTGCTGTGGTATGACGGAGTGTGTCAGGCTGCACCCCCACTGACATGGCATGACAGAGCATGTTGGGCTGCCCCCCCACTGC